AAAAAAAAAAAAAAAAAAAAAAAATCCCATCAACATAAGACCCAACCAGATCCTTATTTTTATGCAAAAAAAAATGAAGAAATGAAACGTAAGCTACACAGTCCATCAACAATACTAGCTTAGGCGACGTCTAGCTGATAGGTTATAGCTTTTAAGTGAATTTCGAGCTTCTAGCTTATAGCTTATGACTTATGGCTGAAAAGCAATAAAAGTGTGATAGAATTAGCTAGAAATAAAAATTTCAACGGGCTTATTTGAAAAGCTACCCAAAAGAAGCTTATAAGATAATCTCGAGTTTTTTAGAAAAATTCGTCCTACCAAACCAAGCTTAATTAAATACATGAAACATATAAGCTAACCAAATAAGCTATAAGCTAGCTTGTGGTGCTTATCAAACAAGCTCTTAATGCTTGTTCTATTAAGTGATCCATCGATCACAACTCAAATAGAAAACTGGCGGATGCATTACTGCATGGTTTAATCAAGGTTATATCAAGACAACCAGGAGATTGCAATAATTTCGTTCACACGTGGAAAAATGGTGATTGTCACTATCTGCAATTCATGATCCAAAACATCTCATTGTTTGACCTCAACAAAACATAAGTTGAAACGCAAGCAAGTTGAAATTTTGCTTTTAACACATATTAAAATTCAATTTCTTTTAGCAGTTGCTTTTCCTTTCCTTTCCTTTCCCAAAAGGATAACCAAAAATATCAACCCAATAGGATATAAAGTTGGCTATGAAGGGGTTGAGGTTAAGATTTGAAATGTTTGACATACTAAGATGATATCACATCCGTGGAATTCGGAACTCCAACATTTTTCCGAAAAAAGAAAATGGATAGAAAAAAAGGGCTGAAAATATTACCATGTCTTTTGTTTCAGGCTCCAGGAATTCACTCTTCACTCTTCCAGGTATAGGCTTGCTGGATGTGCATAACTATTTAGATTCCTATAGAGAATAGAACAACAGTGACAAAAAAGAGCATATAAAAAGATGTGTACCGATCATCATCAACGTCCATGTCAGAGTTGGGATCATTTCTTTCATCCTCGCCGTCCTGATCTTCCACCTGCATGCCAAACATATTTGAATTGGTAAAATAAGGTTTGAAATATTAGACTCTGAATTTTGACTGCTGAGACAATAAAGGCAGGAAATCTTTACACAATAAGAAATAGTTGCACTGAAATATTTGATGCATGTTAAAATTGTGTGTTGCATGTGGGGATTTGTTGCTTAATAATAAAAGCATGCTGAAGCTATAAGGAAAACGGAGTCACATATCGTTGTAGGTTGTTTAGTAGAATGCTTCATCTATTCTTCTTCTTTTATTCTCTTTCATTCCTTTTTTTTTTTTTTTAATCCATCAACTTGGCTATATAAATGAGTATGCTTGCTGCATGCACACACAATTCTCTCATAATAATATTCCAGCATATATGTGATTGGTGAGTATAGACCTAGCATTTAATATTCACTTCAATTGATTCTGACCAATTTCTGCTTCTATTATTTTTGAACAATTTCTGTCATGCATCATTAAGTGCTGATGGACACCCAGAAAGCATATCTTTCCTTATAAACTTAGTGGAAAATAGTTCTACGAGAGCAAACCGAAGCCACTAAATGAGATCTTTAATCGATCAAACCCTAAAGAGGAAGAAAAAGAAAATAGTACTAGACTACTAGAAAAACTTTTCTAGTCAGTTTATCATAAGGAAAACTTAATTCTTATCTTTTTCACTGGCCGAGTTCCTTTCAGACTTGAAATATCTTTATAATTTTTATAAGTCAATAAGTAATGTTCAATAAATATCAGACTTCCTCATGAAACGAGTCGTCGAGTCATATATGAGAGAAAGGAAAATGGAACATATGGCAGGCCCGCAAAGCCCAGGTCATTTATAAGATAAATGCAACGACTTCCACAATATTATTAGAGTCCGGTCAAGACATTAATGTAAAACCCAAAGGTTAGTATGTGAAACAAAACCTCTGGGAGTTCAGCATCTGGTGGTCGCTCCTGGAACTGGACACTTGGGGCATGTTGAAGCGTTGTAAGATTATCAAGAAGCTTTGATCTGATCTCTTCCAATAAATGACGAGAATTCTTATTTTCCATGTTACTTGGAGCGACATGCAGATTATAATCTGGGCCAAAGTACTCATAATATTCATGTTGAGGCATCTTGTCTTCAAGTTCAATCCCAAGTGCTACACCTGTCTGTTAACCCAGATTCAAAGTCAAATCACACTATGAAGAAGCTAACCGCAACTTTTTTTCTTTATTTTTTTTTTATTTATTTTTTTTATTTTTTGGGCCA